CACACACACACTGTATACACAGTTTGTACACACACACACTGTATACACAGTTTGTACACACACGCACTGTACACAGTTTGTACACACAATGTTCACGTTGTTGAGCTCACGCACCCAAAGGGTCAATGTTCAATAGAGGGATCAATGGCATAGGAATCTTAATGAACTTAAACTCTAACCCCGCTGTCTGACGTCGCCACTGCATTACCTCATCGGCGTGAGGGGAGGTGAACCCCGCTAGTGACGTCATGTCATCTCGTGCTGCCGCGTGGCGTCACGAGATACCAGGAAGCTGCCGATCCGCGCGCGCGCTCACTGAGATCCGAGGTGAGAAGTTCACATCGTGGTTGTGGTTGTTGTTGTGGTGTTGTTGTTGTTGTTTACCCAGGTAGAGCCTCGCTCCTCTCGTAGGGATATCAGTTGAGTAGCAGCGAGGATGGAATCGATGTCCAGGTTGGAACATTACAACGCGGGGCCTACCCATGCGGGGCCTTGCCTCCTGCCCTCGCCTGTTTGCATTTGCTTTAATTCTCTGCTCAAGTTTAATTTGTCTTCATCTGGCTCACTACTTTGAAACTTTGTTTCTTTTAATTATTTCTACAGTTTTTTTTATCTTACCAGGCCAAGCCCACTTCAGCTGCTATACCGCTCTTGTTTTCAGAAGCGACCTCCCACAACAAAGTGGCTTATCAACGTGTGGAAATGTCTGTCGGTCAAATACTCTAAACGCGTGGTGATGTTGACTCTAAACGTGGAGGGGAAAACCCTGAGGATCCGGAGGAAAATCCACGCGACCACGGGGAGAGAGAGAGACACGCAAACTCCAAATATACAGGAGGGGTCGCGATCGAACCCACCACCTCCTGTATTCCAGGAGAGGCAGTTAACATCTCCCAGCCACCATGGTGCACACTCGAGTACATGACCACAATGAGTCTCAGCACTCTAATTCAGGAGCGTTCTGCCGAGTTGGTTTTGCTGATGCACCCTTTAGACCGATGAACAACTTTTTATAATTGTTTTTTTACCCTTTTATCTGGCAACAAAACTGACACCTTCTTTACGAGGAGTCATGTTTGCATAGACCACAATACCTGCAGTCATAATGCAAACAAAAAACATAACTCTGATAATGTATGCACTGTCCTTGAAGTTGATTGGTCCACACCCGAGACAGTTTTCCTTAGAGCCTAGTCTCTCTCTCTGATGGTGCATTGTCTTTGAGTTGTGCGCCTTTTGGCGTCATCTGGTCCAACAACATGTGAGACTAGACTACTCTGCGTGCGTGAGTTCGATTCCAACCCTGACGCATTTATAATTGCAGTTTACATTTTTATTTTTTTTCTCTCTCTCCCTGTAGTGGCATTGATTTTTCTCCACATTTAGAAACATGCATTTTGAGAATTTTGCTGCAATACATTTCCATATTTTAACCCACTAAGTTGAGCTATCATTTGTGTCCAGGTCGATTCTGAAAAAGAGCTATGCAGCTCAGATGGCCTCACCTGGTAAAATAAAAATAGTGTACTGTGTTTGAGGGTTTTCCAATTTAATTTCTTATTTAGCAGTTAAAGATTATGTTTCAGGAGGGTCCTGCATTGGACTGTTTGACCACCTCCAAATATATTTTGAGTTTAGGTTTGGGAGAAAAACGGAAAACCCAGTGGAACACCAATGCCGACGGTGACGGCCGACGCCAGGATAGCGGCCACGGGCTCGAAGCGGGGGCAACCCGGCTCTTGTCCCAAGAAAGGAATCTGCTCCCCGCTGCCCTCCACGGTGGCGCATCGCCGGCGGGGCTGCACGCTGAGCCCCAACTTTTCCAGGAGGTCGGTACCAGCAATACACTCGTGGCATAACACGCTCGACACGTATAACTCCTGGTTACTCACCTGGTGTCCGAGGCGACCCTTAAGGGTGACCCTCCCCAGCAGTCCCATCCCACTTCCACTTGCAGTGTGCAGCGCACGATCCGGGGCCTGTCGGCGGCCCACTTCAACCCCGACCACGCTGCAATGTGTTGCACTCACGAGTGACATTACCGCCCCACGTGTCCAGCAGAATCCGGGTTTGCCGCCTGTTCACCTGCCCTTCCACGAGCGACGTGGCCCCCATTATTCCTGCCACCAGCTCCCGCAGCCAGTCACCCGCAGTCGCCACATTCTGGGGTGTTGTTGTCAATATCTGCGTGGGGGTCATTCGTCACCATTATCATGACAGTTTATTTGTGTTGGGACCACGTGGATTGCACCCCTCTGTGGTCCCCTCTTTAGGGAGGCCTTGGTGTTTAACCCTGGTGCTTCTCTCGCGCGGGCGATCTGGGGACTGTCTCTCACGAGATGCCCCCATTGGTCGCATAGATAGCACGCACGGGGAAGGGCGGTGGCTCCATAAGAGGCCCCTTTCCCACTTCCCCTTACCCTCCCAGTGCGCATTTGTTCGAGTTCTGCCTCTTATTGAGATACTCGCCTGGTTAGCCCCCCGACCATGGAGCGTAGCCCTCCCACCTCGGACTGGACTATCTCCGCTGTGGACTGCAGCTTGGTCACATTCAGGTGTACTTGGGTCACCTCCCCACATACTTGGGTTACCTCCTCACGTACTTGGGTTACATGGCCTGTGATCTCCTATGCCGGTCTGTATCCCTGCCACCCATCCTGGGGTTGTCTCACGGGGTCCTGGAGGCTCCCTCGTCCCCCCCCTCACCGTTCTCGCGAGCTTCTCCTCTGGAAGAAGACTTGCAATGGTGTGCTCCTGTTCCAGCCGTCAGAAATGCGCACGCTCGCGAGCAAATCTCTCACACACGTGCGCGTGCTCGGCAAGGGTGTTACATGGGGGATATGGGCAGTTCGCATCTGGCTGCCACCACGTTGTGCTTGTCAGATACTGCTGAACTTTCTCGGCGGCGAGGTCATCGATGATCTCGGCAGTGTATCCCAGGCGTACGCTCTGTGTTAGCAAGCGTGATTTATTTTAGTGTCCGCTCACTGAGATCTGAAGTGAGAAGTTCACATCGTGGTTATTGTTGTCGTGGTGGTAGTTGTTGTTTACCCAGGTAGAGCCTCGCTCCTTCTCTGTCTTGTAGGGAGGCCGCTTTGGATTGCACTACTCTTCGATTTCACATTAACATGCTAATTTATTACATTAACATCACTAGCCCCGGCCACTTCCTTATGATCCTTGGGCTACACCCATTTCAAACCTTTTACAACGGTCTGCCTCAGCAGCAGACCATGCATTTTCTAGCAGAGTGTTTTTGTTTGCTTTCTGACCACAAGTATTGTGGGTAATGCACACATGATTCCTTATTTGGAATACAGTACAGTACTTATTTCAATTGTGATGTTTATTTTAGTTGCCGTTTACCTAACCCCATTATTTAGGTAATGCTTAAGTATAATTATGTATTTTGAGAAGCTCACAATGGCCCTATACAAAATTGCATTTCATACAGTAACAATGATACGCTAATCGATGCCTGGTTATAGTCAAGGGATCGTCCCCTGCTGGTCAACCATGTTACGCATGTTGATGATCTGGTCATGGCTACTCAATGATATTGAGTTGGAGAATCGTGTTCTATACCTGGAGAATTCCATGACGAAATGGGGCCTTGCATATGTTCTACAAAAAGATCACCTCCCTGGGAAAATCTTGACTTAAAGCTTTCGTAACTGCAGGAATTCATATTCTTTGGGTCTTTCGGTTAAGTGACGTGACTTTACCGAAAGACCCAAAGAATACCTCCCTGGGAATTTAATGTCATACAACACTGCACCTGCTCAGCTCTCCATGAATAATCAGGTCGTTCTACACGTGGTGGAGGAGCTCCTATACCTGGTTAATGTGTTCATGACCTTATTTGGCATCCAAAGTGTCACTTCAAATTAGTCTAGCAGCATTCTTTCATTAGGCTCTGTAACACTATGTGGAAGCTGCCTGGACTTTTTTACATACAAAGCTGTGAGTGTCCATCGCCAAGGTCTAGTCCATTGCAAAGGTCTCGTCAATAAAACAGGCAATAGTCTACATTATAGACTGCCAATACACTCACCGAGGTTAAGAACCAGGCTACATTGTCTACATTATAGACTGCCAGTACGCTCACCCAGAGGCGTAGCTAGGGGGGGCAGGGGGGTACATATGTCCCCGGGCGCCAAGGTAAAGGGGCGCCTAAATGAGGCTTACAACGTTACATTATCACTTATTGCGGCGGGCGCGGCAGCCTGAAACTACTGCGCAAATCTACACCTCAACCTAAAAGTTTATATATCCCGCCACACAGAGCCTACATTGCATGTAATTACATTTTCTCAGGTCATAAGATTTGTGGATGTGGATTTTCAAACTAAAAAAGTAACTATCAAAAAATCTTTTTAGGTTATATCGAGATACATGAAAAAGATGCAGCAAGCCTAGAAAGAGTCATCGTCGAGATACTGAAATTTGACAACATACCTCTAGCCGACTGTCGGGCATAATGTTATCACAATGCTGCTGTGATGACTGGGCATATATCCGGCCTTCAACAACGAATATGTGACAAAAATCACAGAGCATTGTTTGTCAACTGTGACAACCACAGCTTAAACTTAGCAGGAGTACACTCAGCTAAACAGGATCCACTTGTCGTCACGTTTTTTGGAACAGTTGAAAGTATATATTTTTCTCTCGTTCAACAATTCGTTGGGAAGAGTTAAAAAAAGCTGTGCCCATCACAGTAAAGCGGGAGTCTGAAACACGCTGGAGTGCACGATCAGAAGCTGTTAAAGCTCTCTATGAAGGAATGGATGAACTAGTAGGGCTGCTAGACAAATTGTCGGAGGACGTAACTATGACGCCTGAAACCAGAAGTGATGCAGAACAGTTACAGGCATGCGTATTAAATTTTTACTTCATAGTTTTATTACATTTCTGGAATGTCATTCTTGGAAAAATGTATCGTGTTCAGAAGCGCCTGGGGGATCGATGTGGACAGAAGAATTAGGTGACGTCGGAAGATGCCGGGAGAACTGGCACAGATGTCGATGCAATTCGTCGAAATTGCACAGATTTTGGAAATTTCTATGACACCGACATCAATGGCCACGAACTTTTCACAGAATTTGGAGATTGCAAAATGCTGCTCGGTAACCGGAATTAAGTTCTACCAGAAACTCCTTTGGATCTTCTTGGTTTTATTGTGTTTTATGGAGACGACATATTTCCGAATTTGCGAATTTCACTGCAAATTTTATTAACAGTAGCAGTTTCAATTGCAAGCTGTGAGCGGTCGTTCAGCAAATTGAAACTTATTTTGTCGTATTTGCGTGCTTCAATGGGACAAGATCGTCTCAGCGATCTTGCTCTTCTTAGCGTTGAAAGAAAAACATTGGAAAAAACATATTTTGATTACGTGATTGACCAGTTTGCGACAGTGAAATCAAGAAAAAATAATCTTTTGTAGACTATGTCAACCAGTCTACGACAGTGACTGAGTGAGCCATGTAATATAATTTCTATGAATTTGCTTCTTTATATACAATGTTTCATTAAAATTGTTATTCCTTATTCGATGTAATAGGAAAATGTGATTAAACGGGGGGGGGGGGGGGGGGCGCCAATTTTATAGTTCGTCCCTGGGCGCAAAATATCCTAGCTACGCCTCTGCGCTCACCGAGGTTAAGAACCAGGCTACAGTCTACATTAGTCGTTTTTTTTTCTTATATTCACTTTATTTGTATTATTATTTTCTATCTACTTGACTTTACCGAAATAACCAAAGAATATTAATTCCTGCAGTCACGAAAGTTTTAAGTCAAAATTTAACCACCTTTTTACCATGCAAGTGTATGAACATGTGAAGTTTGTATTTGCTGTCAAGTATATTGACTCGATTGAACATGGAGGTTAAATCATAAATATAGTTTATTTTAGTTTTGCTTTGGAAATTTTCATAAGAATGGAAACAGTCAGGAAATTAACACAGCACATATGCAGCTGAAGTTAAATCTGTTCATCCTCGCATTCAAGCTAATCTGAGCCTGGCTTCACACCTCTAAGTTGCAAATGAACATTAATTTATACATTTCTGCATAATACAAATAGTATTATTTTCAAAAGCCTTTGCTAGGTTAACAATTTTTTTCTTAAATATTCCTGTCGTAGCTAGACAACCGAAATTGTGTGCTTGGAGTTTTTGGTAAACATTAATTTTGAAGACACTAGGGTGTCCAGGCATATTTATGACCATTTGCCCTCGCATTGTGTGCCTTAACAGCCCGTGTGATGAATTGGGGAATCTCTTTCACTATATCATGAAAATATGAATATGTATAGATGTGTAAGTCATGTGTGACTGTGTATATATGCATTCCTCTGTGCCTCAATACTCACATAGATGGTGTGGACATGCTTTTCTGTTTGCAGCTGACGCTCTCTCTGCAGAATTGGCCTGATGGAGCAAAGGCACTCAGCGCAGTTCAGTACAAGAAGGAAACAATGCGACCAGCATGCAAACAGCACGGATCGTACTGGAAACTTGACACAGCACCAGAGAACACACACAGGAGAGAAACCCTTAGAGTGCTGTGTGTGTGGGAAGGCATTTTCAGATTCATCTACTCTTAAACAACACCACAGAACACACACAGGAGAGAAACCTTTTAAGTGCAGTGTGTGTGGGAAGGCATTTGCAAAGTCATCAATTCTTAAATCACACCAGAGAACACACACAGGAGAGAAACCTTTCAAGTGCACTGTGTGTGAGAAGGCGTTTGCACGGTCATCCATTCTTAAATCACACCAGAGAACACACAAAGGAGAGAAACCTTTTAAGTGCACTGTGTGTGAGAAGGCGTTTGCACGGTCATGCATTCTTAAATCACACCAGAGAACACACACAGGAGAGAAACCTTTCAAGTGCACTGTGTGTGAGAAGGCGTTTGCACTGTCATGCATTCTTAAATCACACCAGAGAACACACACAGGAGATAAACCTTTCAAGTGCACTGTGTGTGAGAAGGCGTTTGCATGGTCGTTCATTCTTAAATCACACCAGAGAACACACACAGGAGAGAAACCCTTCAAGTGCACTGTGTGTGAGAAGGCATTTTCATTGTCATCATATCTTCAGACCCACCAGAGAACACACACAGGAGATAAACCCTTCAAGTGCAGTGTGTGTGGGAGGGCATTTTTGTATTCATCTACTCTTAAACAACACCAGAGAACACACACAGGAGATAAACCTTTCAAGTGCACTCTGTGTGGGAAGGCGTTTGCATTGTCATCAAATCTTAAGATCCACCAGAGAACACACACAGGAGAGAAACCTTTTAAGTGCACTCTGTGTGGGAAGGCGTTTGCAATGTCATCAAATCTTAAGACCCACCAGAGAACACACACAGGAGATAAGCCCTTCAAGTGCAGTGTGTGTGGGAAGGCATTTTTTTATTCATCTACTCTTAAACAACACCAGAGAACACACACAGGAAAGAAACCTTTCAAGTGCACTGTGTGTGAGAAGGCGTTTGCACAGTCACCACATCTTCAAAGACACCAGAGAACACACACAGGAGAGAAACATTTCAAGTGCATTGTGTGTGGGAAGGCGTTTGCACAGTCATCACATCTTCAAAGACACCAGCGAACACACACAGGAGATAACCCCTTCAAGTGCAGTGTGTGTGGGAAGGCATTTTTTTATTCATCTACTCTTAAACAACACCAGAGAACACACACAGGAGAGAAACCTTTTAAGTGCACTCTGTGTGGGAAGGCGTTTGCAATGTCATCAAATCTTAAGACCCACCAGAAAACACACACAGGAGAGAAACCTTTTAAGTGCACTCTGTGTGGGAAGGCGTTTGCAAAATCATCAACTCTTCAGACCCACCAGAGAATACACACAGGAGATAAACCCTTCAAGTGCAGTGTGTGTGAGAAGGCGTTTTCAGATTCATCTGCTCTTCGACGACACCAGAAAAAACACACAGGAGAGAAACTCTTCAAGTGCAGTGTTTGTGGGAAAGCGTTTGCACATTCATCAAATCTTAAAAAACACCAGAGAACACACACGCATCAGAAAATCCACAAGAAGTGTAATCTGAAATCAGCTTGTGAAAGTCAAAGTGCTGCAATGACCCCATTGTTCATGAAACAAGAACCAGAAGACAATCCCAGCCTGGACACTTTGAAAGGTATCAAGGTGAAATATGAAGAGGCGAAAGTGAAATGTGAAGAAGTAACAGTGAAGAGCGTAGAAGTGAAGGTTAAATTTGAAGATTATTCAACTCCAAAATCGGACCTTCACATAGATGGAGGCAGTGTGAAACAGGAACTAAATTCTGACTGTGAGGCAGAGCGAGGCAACTCCCAGGAGTTTGTGGATGTGGAGGTGTGGGTGGACTTCTTAGACAATACAAAGTCAAATGGAGACCAGGTAGATGTGCAAGCTTCAGACAATTAAGCTCCAATGGATGCACCTTTGTCACAGGCCTTTCTAATGAATATAATGTGAAGTTGAATACTCAATTTCTAGGTTCAAACTGGAGTGTAAGCGTGGCCAGTATTTGTGAACCTGTGGGTTGGGGCGATCTCTAACCAGGAGTGACTCAAGTGTTTTGTATCATATCTCATCTTAGACACTCGATGGGTGCCCATAATGGGCATCTGCCCCTGTGTGCCACAAGGTGACCGTTCACTGGCCTGCATGTGGATATGAGTTTGTAAGTCGGGGGAGATGTTTGATATGCCAGTCGGATTTGAACCTTGAACCTCTGCAACATAGAGAATGTACTACTACTTGACTTCTCTCTATGAGAGTGCTGCACATATAGGCCTCATCTCGGCAGAGATCAACTTGTAAATACGTTGCAACGTGACGCAGTACATTTCAGTATAGTAATAAAATGTTGCCAATGTGCCCTTTGATTATTTTGAATCATAATTGAAAGAATACCCGTCAGATTTTGTACGTACATACAACATTTTGTGTATTAATGTCAAACATGGAATATGTGCTGTCAGGACTAAGTATCTGTTTTGGTGGTAACCTGTACAAAAGCTCACGTGAGAGCTGTTATTTTTGTGATACGGGTCAAAGGGTGTTTTTGTGAATCAGGCCGCATCTGACTGGGGCAACTCATTGTCTTTGAAATCGGGAGCATAGTCGGATCATTCATCAGTTAAGGTATGCCACTTATAAGTTACGTATAATAATAATAATAGTACAATTCGTAACGCGCGCAAATTTGCAGACGTAGTGGCCGCAACTCAGAGGCGCGGAGCCAAGCTCAGAGTCGCTCAAAAGCATGATTGTAGAGGTGAGTTTTTAAGTGTCTCTTGAAGGAGGCGATTGAGGTGATGCTGCGAATGTGCAGAGGGATATCGTTCCAGACTGTTGGGGCTGCCACCGAGAAGCGGCGCGTAGACATGACCATCCTGGATCTTGGTATTGAGAGGAGGTCGTGAGTCGCGCTGCGCAGGCAACTGCCGTGTGCTGAGCTACAAGTTGTCAGTAATGAAGAAAGATACGGCGGGCAGGCGGATATGAAGGCATTGTGGCAGAGGCAGGCGGTCTTGTATGTGACCCTACTGGCAATGGGGAGCCAGTTGAGAGCGCGGAGACGAGCTGGTGAGTCGAGCGGGGATGAGTGTGGGCAATGACGACGCGTGCTAGGTTATTTTGTAGTCTTTGAAGCTTCCTTAGGTTGCCAGCGGAGGTCCGGACAAGGACGGAGTTACAATAGTCAAGGCGAGACCCAACTATGCAACATGCCAAAGTGTTGGCAATTTCAGTAGAGATGAGAGGACGTATGTGTCTAAGAGCCTTCAGGTGAAAGTTACATGAGCTGATGATATGGTTGGTTTGACGGTCGAAGGATAAAGTTGAATCTAGGATGACACCGAGGTAGCTGAAGTGGTTGGTGAACTTGATGCTATGACCGAAGATGTGTATGTGTGTGGGGAGTGCTGCTGAATTGAGACGTTGCTTGGTACCTAACATGATGGCCACTGACTTTTTCGGATTAAGGGCTAGGTTGTGTGCAGTGAACCATTGTTGCACGGCGGTGGTACATTCCGAGAGCCTCTCGAATCCAGATGCATTGCTAGAATCGATGGCGGTGAATAGAATCGTGTCATCCGCGTATGAGTGATGCTTAACACCGAAGCTTGCAATGAGTCGGCCGATCGGGGAAGTGTAGGCTGTGAAGAGCAGGGGACCTAGAACAGAGCCCTGGGGAACCCCGCATAATGCTGTTGTTTCAGGCGATGTGGACATGCCCACCCTGACTGAGGATTGCCGGTCAGAAAGGTACGAAGCTATCCACTTGAGTGCTGAGCCGCATATACCGAAGTCGGATTTCAGGAGGGAAGTAAGGAGCGAATGGTTGATGGTGTCGAAGGCTGACGAAATGTCCAGACTTACAAGTGCAACAGTTGAGCCGGAATCAACGATCGTTAAAATGTCATCGAGCACCCTAGTGAGTGCTGTTTCTGTGGAATAGTTTTGATGGTAAGCTGACTGGAAGTTGCAGTAGTTTGCGGAGGAGGTGACGTGTGGTTGTAGCTGGGCGAGGGCTAGTCGTTCAAGGAGTTTAGAGAGGTTCGAGAGGTTAGTGATGGGACGATAACTAGATGGGTCATCCGGATCTAGATTTGGTTTCTTTAACAAGGGAGAAACCAGGCCAGATTTGAGGTTGGACGGAAAACACCCCGAAGAGAAGGAGGCATTTGCGATGTTCCTTATCATGATGGCGAGTTCCGGAGCACATTGCTTGAACAAGGAACCTGGGAGCACGTCGAGTGGAGATGACTTCAAAGGAAGTGATTCAATTAAAGCGAAAACGTCTTTTGTAGACACAGGCTTTAGCATAGTTAGAAGAGTGTCTGGGTTAGTGCTTACAATTTTAGGTACCATGAGCGGGGTACAATGGTGCACTGTGTCAGTAGACGTGCACGAGTTTGCGACGGCGATTAGCTTGTTGTTGAAGTAAGTATTAAAAGAGGTGGCAAGTTTCAGTGAGGCAAGGGGATCGCTAAGGTGAGGGACCATGGTGCTACCAGGATGGAGAAGATCTTTGAGAGTTTTCCATAGAATGCGCGGGTTTCCGGTTGCTTTTTTTATGCGTTCCTCAATGTGGGAGGAACGTGAGACAAGGATCAGTTTGTTAGTTTTCCTGCAGGCGACTCTGTAAGCAAGTCGATCAGCAGGTAGACCACTGCGGGATGCGATACGTTCAAGACGCCTCCTGGTTCGCTTAGCAATGATGGCATCTCTTGAGAGCCAGTGAGTGTCGTGAGAAGACTGCCTAGCGGTTCGTGATTTTAATGGAGCTAGTTTGTCCAGCGCCGCCCTCATGTCAGCTTCTAGTTGGAGAGCGCAGACGGTTGGATCCGATGATGGGGATAACATTGAAAGCGAGTTTGCAAGGAGGTGACGAAAAGCAGAAAATTCGATACCCTTAAAATTACGCAAGTTGCGGGTGAATTTGATGGTGATTGGCTTCGGAAATTGGAGGGAAGAAAGTATAAGGCGGTGTGTTGTATCCTAACCCTTCTTCCATAATTGAGATTAATAATATTTGATGATTTTTATATATTATCTTTTTACTTGTTTTTTTAATGAGTGAAACACACCAAAGCGCACCAAACTGCAAAACACCAGGTGTTGTTAAGTAATGAACGAGAGGAGGGCTAGGATGACAGAATTTGCAACCTTGCTTCAAGGCAAAGGCAGTGAAAGGAAGCAGAGGCGCCTTTGTCTAAGTCACAACCACAGAAAGCCAGGAATCATCACTGATTGTGTGTTTAGGGATTCCGAGCTAATTAGAACACGTGCACACAGAAAGGGAGGTAGAAGCACGCCTTGTTCTCCTGCAGCTGAGGAAACAAAGATAAACCCAAAGAGGCCTTGGACCTGAAATTAAGAATAACATTCCCAGAGCAGAAGGTTGGAGGGACAGGGGAGAGCTGATTTTAAAAAGTGTTGTATATCTCTCAAGGCGGGCAGACCCAGCTAAATAACACGGCTGCGGGGGTCACCAGAAGTTCGCGTTCGCCTAGTTAAGACAAAAAGCTCAATTATTCTGTATTGCTATTAAAGTAACGTTAAAGTCGGAATTTAACAACAGGGTAGGCTAAAGTTATTGATATTCACACCCACTCCAATTAAACCAGGCCACAAGTTACGCCTACTGAACCATCACCATCATTAAGTCAATATGAAATGTTATTTCCATACTTTAATACTTTCTATACAACTCGACCCGAAGCATATGACAATCAGAACCTTCCTAAGTCAAAATTGAATCGCACCCAGACAGGAGCGAATATATCATATATAAGGTTGAAGAGGGAAAGAAATTAAGAGCACGGCGGCAGACAAAAACCAGAACTGACTCCAAGGTTCAACCGCCCTCACCTCAGGAGTGACGGAAATTAATGAGGCCTTGAACAACGGCCAGCTGGACGGCAACAACAACGGCGAGCAGAGATAGGGTGGGGCAAAGACTGCGGGGCTATGAAATGCAACTTCGTGTCAGTAAAGCTCTGACAAACAAGTTAAGTTAAAGACATCACAATACATAATATCGGACATAACATCAATGTTAACGCTATTCACCGTAAGCTAAAGTAAAACTTATGAAAAGCCAGGATAACGGGATGAATCACCACCAGGTCGAATATAATACATAATAAAAAACGATGTTAAACCCAGGGTCGGAGAGAAAGGGAGATCCCGGCCGTCTTTGTATCCCCGCAGCGCGGGATAGGAGTGTGTATACGCTCGGGGAAACACCTCCACTTGAGCCAAGCACCACGATGGGAAACGACAGACCTTAGGTTACATACAGAATCATAACTGTGAAATAGTAAGGGACAAATGTTAACTTAAAACTTTTTAACCATTTCTTTGTGCGCCGGGTCGGAGAGAGCGTTGCCCCTCCCTCCAGGTGGTGCAACGCGAACAAAGACGCCTATGAGACATTTGTAACGTCTGTGTTTTGGGTTTATGAAGAAGGCCAAACAAGAGATAATATTGCACCCAGGCAGAGAGACGGCCTCGAGGCAATTTGTAACATCTGATTGGTTGCTCGTGGGTTTATGGAGGGAGTGTGACAACGGAATATACCGTGGGTGATGCACACAAGGACATACGGACGTACGGACACACACATGGACACACCTGCCTACGGACAGATCCTGACACAAAAAAAATCGAAAGAAGTCCCGCCTTGTGGGCGGGATCCAGGGGGATTTTTCGGCATAAAGTAAAGGATCCTGAGCATTGGAAACCAGTGCGACGGGAGGGTCCACTCAGAAGCCGACCGGGAGGGTCGACTCAGGACGAGTGCGACCAGTGGGTCCACTCAGGAGTGCGACCAGCGGGTCCACTCAGGAGTGCGACCAGAGGGTCGACTCAGGAGCGAGGGCGACCAGCGGGTCGACCCAGGAGCGAGCTCGACCGGGAGGGTCGACTCAGGAGCGAGCTGCGACCAGCGGGTCGGCTCGACTCATCTTCAGCTCGTCAACCTCTGCCGACCGGGGTCTCTGCTGCCCCGGAGTGGTGAGCGTCGCGTTTGGCGACGATCCAGAGCTGCACGCTACGAGCGAGTTGTGGGCGCCACCTACCGACCGGGTTCCGAACTGCGACAGCGTATCAACAGCCATCCGATCCCACGGTGACAGGGGATCGACTGATACGTATGACGCGCACCGCCCCCTCACCACACGACCACCAGGCGTCTGTTTGACCTAAAGAATCGACTCCGAACACTGACTATTCAAGACAACTCTTACCACTCAAAACACTCGAACCCATAAGCCATCCGTGGCTGGAAGCATCACAACGAGACCGAGTGATGGCCATCCGTCGTTTATAAGAGTATTCGTAATTTTTATCTTTAATATTTAGTGGGCTGTACTCTTAATCGCATAAATTCCCAACAGATCCATCAATACGAACTGATTCTTGGCACCTCCTTCCGCCGAGCCACGCTCACGTGGGGAGTGGTGGCCCACCGGATCCTTATCAGGTGATCTGGTCCCCAATTAGTAAACTTGGTATAAGATAACGATCTTCGGAAAAGGAGCACCGTCGCAGGCCCTTACTCCGAGCCGTTCTGAGATAACCTGCCGATGTATCTGTTGAGATTGGTGCCTTTAAGAATAATAACTGTTTTTGATTGTGTTTTTTTATCGCCGTATAATCTTTCAAGTATCTTTCAGTCATAATCGCCGCACGTACTCGCATCCTCTACAGAATATTCAACTGTTCCGTGACCCAAGGTGTTAACAACGTGATAAGGGTTGCGTATGATCAATAAGGAGTGCGGTACTGCGTGAACAATATTGAGTATAATCATTCATTAACGTTAAGGTTTTCTTAGCATAATATTTGCATGTTTTAACGACTCTCTCTCTCACTAAGAACCATCGCGTTATGCGGGATCCATGTGCCGTTGTCA